AAAGGAAACAGTCTGAACATCCCCGTCTTTAACAGGAACACTAACAGATGAAAACTGCTTCAAACACATCCTAATCAATAACTGAATAAATCGATTCTAAAAAGAACTAATTTAGCCATCCATTCATCATCTACTAGAATATACAGACTCTAATGATAACGTTTGGTGAAAGAAACAAGTGACTTGAGGCACAAACTGAGCAAAATATTCAGATTTTTTTAATTAAAGATAAAAACTCCTAAAGTGACCGAGTTTTAAAGCACTGTAAGAAAATTCTCCTTTAAAGCACCTCCTGCTTATGATACAAATGAAACCAACGTATTGATTGATTTAAAAAAAATCATTAGTTGCAACTATAAACATATTTTAAGCTCAAAACATTTGAGGTAATAGTATCCAAAGATTATATGTTCAAAATGAAGCAGATCAGATTTTATGTGATTTTATATTTATGTTTCTTTATCACCATTCCAGAGATAAACAGATGCATCAGAAGCAGGCTTTTAGCGAGCAATACATACACCCTTTACTAAAAAAAATGACTAATTGTACGCCCTGTTTTCAGGGTGCACAGCTTTCCCCCGGAAACTTTGTTTCAGTTGGAACATTTAAATTTTTGCTGCTAGACGCGCCACATCAACCAATCAGAGAAGCTGATCTGGCAGCTGGCAGGGAGTCAGACACAGCGCTGCTGCTGCAGAGTGCTATGATTAACTTAAAATGTCAAAACCTACCGGCAAAACGTGTTTGCTTTAATCATTCTGGTGCTGCAGTTTGTAGCGTGTACCCCAAAGAAGCGACCGCTGTAGGTTCCAGATCTGCTCTAGGTGCCCGATCTGCTCTAGGTACCCGATCTGCTCTAGGTACCCGATCTGCTCTAGGTACCCGATCTGCTCTAGGTATCCGAATAGGGGTGTAAATCACATCCATCATGGCGATTCGATTCAGTATCGATTTCCTGAACCCAAGGATTCGATTATTTTCGATACTCAAGAATACAACACGATTCGATTTGATTAATCGATTAATCAATTAATTTTTTTTTTATACCTTACAGGCTAAACAAAGTTTCAAGTTTGAAATAAATCAATGAAAGCTTTAATATCGTTATGCATTTTTTTTTTTTAGAAACAACAGCAAATAACAGAAGTAGAAAAGTTGCATCAAAAAATACTGCAACAAAACTGCAGAAAATCAGTGCAATGAGTGCAATGCAATATCTCGGCTCCAGACGTCCCTCCCCCTCCACAGACGCTCCGCTTCACCTCTCCCAAATTGTAGCTAACCGCAGACAGTGCCGCAGATAGGAGGCCGGCTTGTTTTTTTTTTTATGACCGAAATTGCGGAAAACAACTAGTGAAGTTTGACCCGCGAGGTGCACGAGAACGCTGGGACCCTTTTTCCTCCTGGATCTCCGCTCTTTTTGGCCCTCATGTCCTTCCGTCGTCGGACTAAACTCGCCCCCACTTACTCGCCGCCTCGGCCGTATCTAGACCCACAGTGTGTAGCACAGACCATGCTTCAATATTGAGCATAATTTTTAAAATGTCTGTATCAAGCTTGCTGCAACACACTGCTGTAAGAGTATCACCAGGAAGCGAGGTAGGAGGGCAAAATAGGTTTAGCGCCACCGCAGCATGGGAGGGAGAATTACGCCCAGGAACACATGGATAAAAATAGACCGGAGGAAAAAAAAAAAAAAAAA